TTCATAGCACCAAGAAAGAAGGGCCAAGAGCGGAGCACATCCTTTAGACTTGGGGTCCCTAAGTGGAGAAGCTCCTAGACCAGGGGAAGACTCATGACAAGGACCTTCCCCCATAACCAACAGAGAGAAAAAGCCTTCCCTGGAAGCTGGTGCCTTGAATTTGGACTTCTAGCCTCCTAGACTGTGAGAGGATAAATTTCTGTTTGTTAAAGCCATCCACTCGTGATATTTGTGTTATAGCAGAACTAGATAACTAAGACAGTACCCTTGTTATAGATTAGTTGACCATACATGTCTGGATTTACTTTTGGACTGTGAAATCTCTTCTATTGATCTATATCTATCCTTATGCCAGTATCATACCATTTTGATTACAGCTGCTTTGTAGTAAGTTTTTAAACTGGGGAATGTGAGTCCTCTCACTTTGTTGTTGTTTTTCAGAATTGTTTTGGCTATGTTGGTTCCTTGTAATTCCATATGAATTTTAGAATCAGCTTAAATTTCTGTGAAGTCAGCTGGGATTCTGAAAGGGCTTGTGTTGAATCTGTAGATCGGTTTGGAGAGTATTATTGTCTTGTTAAATCTTCTGATCCATGAACATGGGATGTTTTTCAATTTTATTAGGTCTTCTTTAATTTCTTTCAACAGTGTTTTGTAATTTTCAGAGTACTGCTTTCTTTTGCGTTAAGGGGGTATTTTCTAATGTAGCATTTTAATTTCTTTAATGATTTTTTTTCTCTGCCTTCTTGAGTTACTACTTTTTTTAATAGTTGCTCTAGGGTTTACTACATCTTAACTTACTAGGATTTGCTTCAGATTTATAGTGGCTTAATTCTAGTGATATATAGAAATGTTATCCTATATAGTTCTATTCTCTTCCCCCCTTTTTGTGATATGGTTATATACATTTACATCTATTAATGTTACAAACCCAGCAATACATGTTATAATTTTATATTACTTTACCATCTGTAGTCATTTTCTTAGCCCATTACAACTTTTCTCCCCATCTCCTTTGTGCTGTTATTGGCAAATATATAACATATGTATTACATTTTTATATGTTATAGACCCAACAATACATTATGTATGTGTTATTTTATACAGTTGATTTTAAAATTAATTATAAGAAGAAATAGAAAAATATGCATTTATGATGTTTTTCTCATTCTCTTTGTTCGTGTGGGTTTGAATTACTGTCTGGGTCATTTGCTTTCAGCTTACGTACTTCCTTTAGTATTTCTTGTAAGGGGTTTGCTAGCAAAATATTGTCTGTTTTTGTTTATCTGGGAAAGTCTTTATTTCAGTTTTGTTTTTGAAACATAGCTTTGATGGACATAGGACTCTTGGGTGACAGTTTTTTTCTTTGAGTATTTTGAATGTTATACCACTGCTTTCTAGCCTCCATTATTTCTGCTGAGACATCAGCTTTTGGGCTCCCTGTAAGCAGTGGAGGACCCTTCATGGTGCAGTTGGTTAAAGCGCTCAGCTGCTAACCAAAAGGTCAGCAGTTCGAACCCACCAGTTATTCTGTGAGAGAAAGATGTTGCAGTCTGCTTCCGTAAAGACATACAGCCTTGGAAACTATCAAGCAGTTCTACCCTGTCCTGTAGGGTCACTGTGAGTCAAAATTGACTTGATGGCAGTGGGTTTGGTTTTTTGGGTTATAAGCAGTGAGGTGCTTTTTCCTTGTCTTTCAGCATTTTTCCTATGATCTGTCTGTTTGTGGGTCTCTGCATTTATCCTATTTGGAGTTCACTGAGTTTCCTGCATTTGTAGGTTATTGTTTTTCAAAAAATTTGTCAAGTTTTCCACCATAATTTCTTTGAATATTTTTTCTACTCCTTTCTCTCTCTCCTCTCCTTTTGGTATTCCCATTATGTGTATGTTGTTTTGCTTAATGGTGTCCAGCATTTCTGTGAGGCTCTGTTCATTTTTCTTCATTCTTTTTACTCTGTTTTTCGGCTTGCATACCTTCTGTTGATTTATCTTCAGGTTTGCTGTTTTTTTCTTTTGCCAGTCCAAATCTACTTTTGAGCCTCTATAGTGAATTTTTTACTTCAGTTACTGTGCTTTTTCAGTTCTAGAATTTCCATTTGGTTCTTTTGAAAAGTTTTTTTTATCTGTTTATATTTTCTGTTTAATGTGATGTTTTCATTATACCTTCTTTACTTCTTTAATGACATTTTACTTTAGTACTCTGAACATATTTATAATGTTTGGTTGTTCTCACAGACAATTTCTGTTGCCTGCTTTTTTCCGATGTATGAATCATACTTCGTGTTTCTTTGCATGCTTCATTATTTTTTTTGTTGGAAACTGGACATTTTAGATAATATATTATAACAACTCAGGGTACTACCCCCTCCCCCACTTGTTATTTGCTTGTTTATTTGTTTGGTGACTGGCTGGGTTATTTAGTGAAGTCTCTTTCACCTCCTACAGTGTTTAGTCTTTTATGTTACTCTTCAGGGAGATTCAGCTTTGGGTATGCCCACCCCAGGATGACAGTGTACCTGGTTGGGCTCTCTTCTACTCTTTTCCTGACCCCACCCAGCTGTTGAACTCACCGATTGTTCTGATTGCTCTGTTTGCTCTGTTGGCTTTCAGAAATGCCTGGGGGCATAAATTTTTCCACAAAATAGTTCAATCAAATTGTGGCTCCTTGAAAGGAATAGTTTCTGAGGTCCCTATCTGATGTTAGTTCTAATCCCTGCAGGCCTCCTCCCAGCTGTCTTATTCCTTTGTTGTCTTTTGACAACTAGCTGATCTACACTCCAGGCTGTGCGGCCATCCAAGCCACAATAATTGGTCTCTATTCGCTTAGAGCAACAGAAGAAGGAGAGTCAGGAATGGGAGGAGGAAATGGATGTGTGGCTAATTGCCTCCATGAACAACTATCTCCTCTACCATGAGAGGAGAAGAACTGGATGGTTTCTGGCTACCATTACTGAACATCTTGATCAAAGATTTTGTAAAAGAATCCTGACTAAAAGGGGAAAAAATACAAAACAGAATTTCAAATTCTCATGGACTCCAGACTTTCTGAAGCCATGGAGGCTGAATAAACCCCTAAAACTATTGCCCTGAGATAATCTTTAAACCATAAACCAAAAATATCTCCTGAAATCTTGTTAAAACCAAACGGTATTTTAGTTTAACTAGTAAAGAATGTCTGCCTTGAGCATTATGCTCTTTTAAGAACTATTTATATGGGATCAGATTGACAACCAAAACCAACCCCGTTGGCTGTTGAGTCGATTCTGACTCATAGTGACCCTATAGGATAAAGTAGAACTACCCCATAGGGTTTTCAAGGAGCGGCTGCTGGATTCGAACTGCCGACCTTTTGGTTAACAGCCGAGCTCTTAACCATTGTGCCACCAGGGCTCCAAAACTGACAACAGCAACTTGAAAGATTAGATAGGAAATTTAGGGGGTAATGAGTTTATGTTAATGGGGGAGGAACAACTGGGAAAAGGAGGGTGTGAATGGTTGTACAACTCAAAGAATGTAATCAATGTGTTACTGAGTTGTACATGGAGAAGTTGTTGAATCGGTGTATGTTCTGTGTATATTCTCAACAACAACAAAAATAAAATATTAAAAAAAGGAAGAAAATCTACACATTTTCTCCCAATTGCCTTTCATTACAGCCCGCACTGTTCTTGAGAGCACCCTTAGACTTAAACTTCTCCACGTTCTGTTGCAAGTGAAGTGAGTTCCTTTGGTAAGAAATAAGGAGGTTATTTATTTTCAGGCCTGCTTCTCCTCTCAGAGCCCTGGTTGCACACCAAATGGTCATCAGCTGCTCTTTGGAAACCCTATGGGGCAGTTCTGCTCTGTCCTAAAGGGTTGCTGTAAGTCAGAATCAACTTGAAGGCAGCGGTTTTTGGCTCTTTTTTCCCTGCCCTGAGGTAAAATCTCAGAGCCAGTGTTCTGGAGCTAGGGTTGAGACAATGGCAAGCTTCTTCTGAGTGACACCCCTGCTTTAGGAGCTGAGTGCTTGGTTGGGGAGGGGGCCATCAGCCTGAGATTTTTCTGGCTTGCCTCTGCTGGTGTGGAACCACTGCCTCACAATCTGGGAGAAGAGCTAGAAGGGCTGTTGGGGATCCATTATTTTCAGCACGGGAAGCCCAGTATAGAGCCTCCATTTTACAAGTGGATGTTGGGTAGAGAAAGGGAGCCACCATTTCACTACTGCACTTGCGTGGGGCTGTAGTCCTGCTTCTCGTGGGAGGAAAGCCCTCTGGCTGGGAGCTGGGAGGAGAGGGAGCCCTGTATTCTTGGCTGCAGCAATCTTGAGTGGAGTCTTACTGAGCTGGGAGGCAGGGAAGAAGGGCGCGTGGTTTTGGTTTAAATATCACAGACTCTTACCTTTCTTAATGAATTTTTGTAGATTTTCTTGGCTAAATGTTTCTTCATTTCTGTTTTCCTTTAGGACCATTTCTAGAGGCTTTGAATTATTATGTTTTAAAAATAATTTTCACCAGTTTCACTCTGGAGTGGGTCAGCGGAGCTGCTCATGCTGTAATGCTAGACTTACCCTCTCTTAACTTTGTTTTTTGAGGTAGGACGCTTGCCTCCTTAATAAGACATGACTCAGAATTGCATTTGCTTCATTTTATTCTCTGACACCTTTGAGGAAGTCCAGAACTGTAACATATGCCTTAACACCCAACTTTTAGATAATTGTCTGTATGATGCAAGAGGACATGAGTATTGATTTCCCATGCCAGTTTTCCTGAAAGAATGAATTTACTACATGCAGAAGTACTTCTAGAAGGGAGAGCTGCACATAGAATCTAGAGAATTTTAACATTGGGGCATAGTACTGTAACTGGCTGAGTTCTTTTCAAATTGACTTGGAGTTGTTGCAGTTAACTGTTGGCTTCTTTGACCTAATTTAGGTGTCAAAATCAGCAGATTTCTTCCTGTCAGTTTTGCTTTCATCTTAAATTAGAGTTGTTTTTAAGTTTTTTTTTTTTTTTTCTTTCCAGGGTCCACTTAATAGTGAGTCTTCCAATCAGAGCTTGTGCAGCGTGGGGTCCTTGAGTGATAAAGAAGTAGAGGTAAGAAGTGACATTCATTACACAACTTTTCATAGATTCTCACACTTTCAGTCTGGGTTAAAAGATAGCACTGTGTAACTCTAGGGGGGTGCAGTTAAAGTCTGTGTGAATGGCTCCCCTTGGACTTGTGTGCCGTTTGCATCTGTGTAGCTATGCTTGGCTCTGAAGGGTTTTTATTATTAAAATCGTGTATGGGTATTGTGTGTGTGTGTGTGTATGTGTGTAGTTTGGCCATCAATAAAGGGCAGAAATTTGCATTTGTAGCTGAGTTAGTTTAAATGCCCTAAGTTTTAACACTTGTTCTACAAAGTGGATCAGTGTAACCTGGCTAACTTTAATAATAGAACTTGAAGGTGGTTTTATTTGCTGGTTAAATGGAAGTTCACTTTTTTTTTTTTTTTAATTAAGTAACTCGGCTGCATGAGTATGAGTCTAAATCTGCAACCACCAACTTTGCATTTAGATAAGAAGTCGAAAGAAATCAAGAAGTTAGAGCAAGTTGATAGATTTTGCAGATATTTTGGTTTGGAGATGGGGTTTAAGCTCACCTGTTTCTTTTGATCTCTTCTCATATCGAGGTGTACAGGTATACCCATTGCCATCGAGTCGATTCCGACTCATAGCGACCCTATAGGACAGGGTAGAACTCCCCATAGGGTTTCCAAGGCTGTAAATCTTTACGGAAGCAGACTGCTACATTTTTGTCCCGCGGAGCAGCTGGTGGGTTCAAACTGCCGACCTTTTGGTTAGCAGCTGAGCACTTACCCACTGTGCCATCAGGGCTCCTTGTATGTGTATAGAGAGTGCTGAAAACTTAAAAAGTTTTTATAGATGCCTGTATCTTTTCTGTTGCATATAGTCAGTTGATGTTGGTATGACTTTAAATGAAGGTAGTATGATAAGTTTTATTAACTGGATTGAAAGTGAAATACAAAGTAAAAACATTAGGGACATGAAGGCATTTAGGTTTTATCCTTAATGCTATTAGTACATCTCCCATTTCTGTCCTATTCAGAAGCAAATAAATAAATGATTTAAAAAATTTAAAAAAATCTGTTACTAGTTGAACAACAGTAGTTGAAAGGTCAGACGTTTTATAAGTCTTTCTTAACCTTTTTAATGTCTAAGCAGCTTTATACTACTTTATCTTTTGAAGTAGAAATATTGGAACAGCTGTTGTTTGACAGCCTACCTACTTTATGCTAGACATTTGTACTACATTCGTGCTTTATAAATATTTCATTTAAGCTTTGCAGCAGCCCTTATTTACAGATGAGAAAATTGAGGCTCTGATATTTTAAGCAGTTTGCCCAAAATTGCATAGGTGATTTGATACTAAACCCTGTACTCTTTCCGTTACCATGCTCTGAGAGAAGGACACTGATTTAGGGCTTGTTTGTGCCAGTCATATCTCCTTATACATATATATTTTGTACATAAACTCTCTTATTTTTCATAATGTGAAAAACGTACCAAATTGCTAATTGTGATATATATGGTATTTCACAGACTCCTGAGAAAAAGCAGAATGACCAGCGAAACCGGAAAAGAAAAGCTGAGCCATATGAAACTAGCCAAGGTAGTAATAATTTCACACCAGTAAAAATACTAAATTCTCATGCACTTAGATAGAATTTTCTCACTCACACCAGATAATTAGTATGTATACAGGAATTCCTAACCAAGGAGATTTGTGTACCATAAGGGAATATCAGGCTGTTTATTACAGACTTGCCATTTGATACACACCTGACAAAACAGTGTCAGTTCTTTGGGGACTCTTGTTTTCCCTCTTGTAAGTTAAAGATCTTCTCGCCACAGGTTTTTCTTCAGACTAAACGTATTGTACAGAAAAGAGGTTACACTGGAGTTTTAACTATGTCTTGGCTTTACATCAATGATTTCTTAATCATGGGCTGCCAGAAATTGTTTCATTTACGTTGTTGTTCTTTCTACCAACTGTTCTTCTATGGCACTTATTTAGTTGAACATTGGAGCACTCTGGAATAAATCTCCAAATATGATTATAATGCCAAATATTTTTATATAATCAAAGAAAGAATAAATGGTTTGGCTTTTCCCCTCCTCCCATTCTAAGAAATGGAAGTCCCAGTCTATTTGCCTTTTTTTTTTTTTTTTAATCTATAAATAATTCATTTTTTACCTTTTTGGGGAGGAATTCTCCCAGAGTGGCAAGATCGCATTAAGTTTTGTGTGAAACGGAATAAACTCTTCCATTCTGATGAGTTTGTTTTGAGGTTTCCTTTTTCTTAGATTTTTAGGATTGAGTACATGGACTATAGATTTATTTTGATTCATGGTTATGGCATAGATTTTGTTGGTGTAATTTATAAAAGAAAGATTATTGAATCTTAAAGGAAATCAAGCTGTGAAAAATTCCTTTCGCTGCTTAGTCAGTCTGTTACGACAGGGAGGAAACTGTCTCTGTTCTTAGGGTACAGGCATTTTGGCTCATTTGTTAAGAGCAAAAGCCAACACTTAAGTTGATAGCAACATATGCAGTTACTGAATACATAGTGCATTTTAGTGAATGATGATTTACATGTGTATTGGAAAAACTGTACTTACTTTGGTTTCATTTTCAGGGAAAGGCACTCCTAGGGGACATAAAATTAGTGATTACTTTGAGGTAAGTTAAATTTTGGGGAAAAAAAATAGTGATTTTTTTAAAAACCTAAATTCTTGAGTTCATGAAAAGCTTTAGAAAGCACTGTTTTGCCTTTACCGTGTTCTCCTCCCCGTCCTTCCCATCTTCATCATCTAATTCTGCCCCATCTCTCCGCGAGAGGAAACTGCTGCTGCCTTCCTAAGTTTAAATTTGTTTAATATGTGTCTTGTCTGTGATGATGTAAGAATTCACAAATGAGGTGATTTTTCTCTTGGCCAGAACTAGGTTTCATGTCTTAACAAAGATTGAAATGGAATGACTTGGACTCTTCTTTTGTCCTCCTCACTTAGTCCAGTGGAACACGTAATGAGCTCGCTGACCCATCATTAGTGGTTTCTAAAGAAGACGCTTAACATCCACTGTACCACTGTATTCCTGCTTCGTGTATTTTGAGAAAAAAAGGGAAAGCATTCTTCTCTCATGTCCTTTCAAAACCACGTGTTCAGCTTTCTAGCCATGTTTTCTTTATATCTTGGTACATTTCTGTTGGAGCTCCTTCTTAAAAATCTTGTTAAAAAGATAGCAAAATTTGACTTACATGGCATTTTCTGCCTAGAATAAGATGTATTGACTTAAGGGGTCATATATAATTAAGACCTGTTTGTGTGTTAATCTTTTACTCTCCTTATCTGAAGCATAGTACTGTTTTGAATTATTCATATCCATTTTTCCCTGTTGGCCAGTTTGCTGGGGGAAGCGGGCCAGGAACCAGCCCTGGCAGAAGTGTTCCACCAGTTGCACGATCCTCACCGCAACATTCCTTATCCAATCCCTTACCGGTAAGCATTCACCTGGAGAAATTTGACACCTGTTGTAGGAGACAGAAAGCCCAGGAACACTCAAGCACAGTTTCTCTTCAGTTAATTACCCATGGGGAATGAGGCATTAGGGAGAAGAGTTCATAGTATTAACTGTGAATTCCTTACTTAGACTCAAATCTGTATCGATAAATTAACCTTTTTATAAGCGCTGACCCTATTCTCTCAGTATAATAAATTGTTTCTACGGCTGCAGCTCAGTGTCTCAGTGTTCTGTCAAGGAAGTCATTTCTAATCCAAACATTAGGTTTTTATCCTTGCCAAGCTTATTTGTTCCTTCAATTTTTTAAAAAAAATTTACTTAGCTCACAGCATTTGAAATGTCCCCAGAGCGTACTCAGTGATGTAGAGAGGCTAGCGCTATACACATTTGAGATAGGTTTGTTTCCAGCCTGTAAGTGAGATAATGAAGGTCTTAAAAACAGTATAGCTAATTTAGTGGTTCTTAATAAGGGGCAATTTTGCCTTCAGAGGGACATTTTGCAATGTCTGGATTCACTTTGGTTGTCCTGAATGAGGGACATAGATATCTAGAGCACAGATGCCAGGGTGCTGCTAATCATCCTATAAGGAATAGGACGGCCCCCAACTCAAAGAATTATCTCGTCCAGAATGTCAGTTGTGCTGAGGTTGAGAAACCCTGAGCTAGCTCATGTAGGATTTTGTGTTAATTTGCCCAAGTGCCTTTGGCTGACTTGTTGATACCATATATGACCTTTGTGAAACCCACTAATGCCCCAAGGATTGCTGTGAGATCTTGGGGAACAGGGTGGGCGGGGGTCTCTGAGATCAGGAGTATTTCATCCTAGGCCTCTGTTTAGGAAAGTTGTTTTTCTCTTCCTTAGCAGAGTTGGGTAATACTGCTCTTTTTGTGAATGATTTAGGCTTCTGTATTTTTAAAGTATTTTAAAATACACTTCCTCCTCCTCTACTGTCTCATAAAAACATGCATTCGTTAGGGTGATTGTAATTATTAAAGCACTCATGAAAATGAATTCAACAGGAAAGTTTTCACTATTGTTCTGTCATCCTTGCCATATTTTAAAATGCTAAAAATGTTTGACGTCTAGAACTGTTTTGGGTTGTTTAGTTTCGTTAGATAATCATCCAGGAGGCCTATGTCTTTATTTTCTTCAGTTTTAAAACAATTAAAGTTTAAAAAAAAATTAAACGAGATTGTATAATTACCTATTTGGGACAAATATGTTTTGTAGAATTTGTCAATGTCGTTTATTGCTCCTTTCTTAAATATTTTTTTTCATTTGGTTAATAGTGTATCAGTTTAGGTGAAGTCTTACCTGAAAGACAAAAGATGTGCTCAGTGATCTGTAGACTCTTCTGCCAGCTATAAGAATGGTGACTGGGCCTCATCCTCATTATGTTAATCGAAGTATATATTGGATGCTGGAACAGAAACCAAGCCTTAATTTCTGTTTTCCATTGCACCAAGGAGCTCTTTATCCTTACCCAGCTTAGATTTTGAGATTCATTATTATAATCACTGATTTATGTATACCTTCAATTCCCTTGACCCACTCTCTCTCCATCATACTTTCTGAAAAAAGCCAGCCTGATTAATTCTCATGCTCCACCATTTCCTTGCCTGTCTCCAAGCAGCTCAGCATTGTTGGGAAAAAACACACACACCCATGCTGACTGATCTCACTTTGTTTCATGACCCCTAACTTTGAGTGCACCCCTACCCACCTGCCAGTCTTACTGTATCCCTAGTCAGTTCCCTTTCCTAGATGACTGTCTTAGTGCCGCTATTACAGAAATACCGCAAGTGGATGGCTTTAACAAAGAGGAATTTATTCTCTCACAGTCTAGTAGGCTACAAGTCCAAAATCAGGGCATCAGCTCCAGGGGAAAGCTTTCTCTGTTGGCTCTGGAGGATGGTCCTTGTCATCAATCTTCCCCTGGACCAGGAGCTTCTCTGCACAGGAACCCCAGGTCCGAAGGACGTATTCTGCTTCCAGCGCTGCTTTCTTAGCGGTATGAGGTCCCAACTCTGCTTGCTTCCCTTTCCTTTTAGCTCTTGTAAGATAAAAGGTGGTACAGGCTACACCCCAGGGAAACTCCCTTTACATTGAATCAGGGATGTGACTTTAGTAGGGTGTTACAGTCCCACCCTAATCTTCTTTAACATAAAATTGCAATCACAAAATGGAGGGCAACCACACAATACTAGGAATCATGGCCCAGGCAAATTGATGCACCCATTTTTGGGGGGACATAATTCAATCCATGACAATGACTGTCTCATCCTTTTGTCATCTGCAGATCTCAGGCAGTACCTCCTCCCTTCTACTGTCTCAACTGATGGCCTCGCTTTTTATTTTACTGAGAAAATAGAAGCAATCAGAGAACTTCCACATGCTTCTACCCCAAATAATGCCAGGCTACTTGCATCAGTCCCCGTATCTGCCTTTTAGGATAAATGAACTTGCCAGCCGTTCTCTTGGGCACCAGTCTCCCTTATATATCCATCTCCCTACTTAACATTTCCACCTATATATCTAATATATGTATCTAATAGACAGCTTGAACTTAAACATGTCCCAAACAGAACTCTTGATCCCCCTTCACTACCAAGCACAACAATAACAAAAACTGTTCTTCCTGCAATATGCCCTGTTTTGGTAAATGACAGTTTCCTTCATCTAGTTTTTCAGGGCCATAAACCTTATAATCTAAGCTATAACTCTAACCCATCACTAAACCCTGTTTGTTTTTCTCTTAAAATATATCAGATATATCACTTTTATATAAAATATATCACTTTTCTATCTGTCCTCTTCATTTGCATCCAAAGTGGTCTTCCTATTTCTGCCCTCATCCCACCTTTTCTGAATATAGTAGCCAGAGTGATCCTGTTAAAAATTTAAGGCAGATTCTTGCACTTGTCTGCTCAGAACCATCCAGTGGTTTTCTATATTAATGTCTTACATGGTCTAGAAGCTCCTATATGTGGGATTTTTGGTCCCCCACCCATCTGACTGACGTCTCCTGCTGCTCTCCCTCTCCTGTGTGCCACTGCAGCCACACTGGCCTCCTTGCATCTCCTTGAAAACTGCAAAGCACTCTTGCTTCAGAGCCTTTATATGTGCTATCCCCTCTTCCAGATCTTTTCCCAGATATCCTTATGATGTGCAATCTCTTTCATGAAGTTGTTCCTAAAAAATTACCTCATCAGAGAGGCCTGTCCTGGCCAACCTTTCTAAAATAGCAGTCCCTCACTTCTTGTCATTCTGTCCCTAATCCTGCTTCATTTTAATTCTTAGTTATCACTCCCTGACATATATATTTTTTAATTTCTACATATATTTAACACTTTTTATTGGTTCATATTTGTACATATAGAAGAATACACATAAGTCTACAGTTAATGAATTTTCACAAACTGTACATACCTTGGTGACCAGCATAAGACGCAAAATACTTCCAACTCCCAGAGTCCCTCTTGTGCTCCCTTCTAGTCACTAGCCCCCCTCTGCCACGGGGATCGCCACTGTCCTAGCTTCTAACAGCATAGACGAGTTTTTTCTGTTTTTCTACTTTATATGAAAGAAATCATACGGTATGTACTCTTGTGCCTGGCTTCTTTTTTTCAACATTACTTTAGTGAGATTCTTCCATTGTTGTATCTTGTAGATCATTCATTATCATTGCTGTGGTATAATTTTAATATAACTCCCGTTTAATATTTTATATATTTTAGATTTAACTATATAATTAATTCATTGTTTATCTTCCGCTAGAAAGTGAATCCCATGAGAGCAAGGGCTTTGTTTTATTTACTCGTGTTTCCTTCTGTTATAGTACTTAGCACCTAAAGGCATAATTATTTTAACTGATTTTCCCCATTTGACGTGGAAGGGATAATATCTTATTCAATTTTCAGTCTGTGTTGTTTTTGTTGTTGTATTCCATTGAGTTGATTCTGACTCCTTGGGACCCTATAGGACAGAGTAGAACTGTTTCATAGAGTTTCCTAGGCTATATCTTCATGGGAGCAGCTCTCCAGATCTTTTCTCCTAAGGAGTGGGTGGTGCGTTCGAACTGCCGACCTTTCACTTAGCAGCTGGTTAACCATTGCGCCACCAGGGTTCAGTCTCTGGCACATAGTGGATGCGCAAAACTTATTGTTGAAAGAGAAGAGTAGATGGATAAAGAATTACTTTAGTCTTTATTCCCTTAAGTGATTCTTTTATATTTTTTACTGTTAAATACAACAAAATGTTAAAAAGCACATAACACATGAACATAACACATGAACATTTTAATGCAGGAGCTGACAAACTATAGCCCATGGCCCATGAGCTAAGAATGATTTTTAGATTTTTTTTTTTCAAGAGCTTACAATTACAGCTTTATTATAGGGAAAAGTATACAAATGGAGAGACACATAAGGTGAGGTCCAGGAGGGTTCCCAATGCAGAGCTTCCAAAAAGGGACGTGCTGCCCCCTCATGAGGAGTCCCTGGTGGCTCAAATGGTTAAACTCTCGACTACTAACTGAAAGGTTGGTGGTTTGAACCAACCCTTAGGCACCTTGGAAGAAAGGCCCGGCGATCTGCCGCTGATAGATCACAGTCTTGAAAACCCCGTGGAGCGTAGTTCTACTTTGCAACACTTGGAGTTGTCATGAGTAGGAATCGACTTGATAGCAACTGGTTTGGTTTTGGTTTTTACCCGCTTTCTCACCAACCAGTAAGCTCATAGAGTGTGAGTGTCCAGAGCTTTTATTGGGTGTCTTACTATGTAATACAAATTCCAGCCCCTCTTCTGTGAGGGTACTAGATAATCGTGAGGTGATAATGAAGTATTACATGATGGGTCTTGCCTGGCCAGCTCCCTCCCTAGGGTCTCTTCATCACCTCACCGAATCTGTTAGGTATGATCTGGAGTTCTTATCAAAGACACTTAAATTCCAAGGCTTTTTTTTAGAGATTGTATCTC